ACTAATCGACCATTCCGAAATTCAGGCGGATGAAAAGACAAAGTACCTTTTCCAGAATCAACAACAACATCAGCCCAGGTAGACTTTGCTGGGGGGTTCGCTAGAGTAGGAGAAGAAGTAGAACCCGTGATCGGAAGAGGAGGAGGAGCTTGGACCAAGGTTGCCGGAGAAGTAGAAGGCGATGGGCCTGCAATCTGGAAAGGGGAAGCTCCGGTTATCATCTTGACCTCATCATGAAGTTTCTTGCTTAGGATTGCCACCGACTGCGGAGAAGAACTACCAGAAATGTTGCTAGCAGAGGAACCAGAAGTCGCTGCCGGCCAGATATTGGAGGAAACAGGCGATTTCCGATGCGAACACGCCATAGTGGCCACTGAATTGAAGGAAATCAGCGTGAGAATTTGTGGACTACGATGGAGGAGGGGGTTGGATAAGACGGAGGCTGGGCTTGGGATGGGAGAAAGAGAAAGGATTCAGTTTTGGGGAACAACAGGAGGAGTATTAGGTAATTTTGAGTTTTCAATATAATTTCAATTTAACTATAATCTATAGCAATTTTGTAATTAAAGTCAATGGTAACAACAAATTTTGTCCACATTACTAAATTTTACTTTTGAGAATTTTTACATCACTAATTCGAACCAAAGAGCAGTTTATGCTGTTATCAATTAATATGTCATATAAGTAAAACTCAACTAAATAGAACGGTCCGCTTCGATCCAGTGTTATTGGCCCTTGACTTAGGACTGTTCATATTCGTGGGTTGTAAGTTGGAATTCCACCGGATCCTTTTCTCCTTTCAATTAATCTTATAAATAATTACAAATTGTTCAAAAAAGTAAAACCCAACCAAATAATTAAAAAGAACCAAAAATATATTAAACTTTTGGGATCAAATTTTTTTTTTTTCAATTTAAAAACTAAAAAGAGATTTCATATAAAAGTTTGGTGAACTAAATGAGATTTAAACAATAGCTAATTAAATACGGACAAAAAGGGTCTGCTCCGTTGTTCTACTGCTCATCCTTTCTTTCCCTTTTTCTCTTGTTGATTCTTGGTTTCTTCTTCTTTTTTTCATGATTTTATATTTTATTTTACCCTTCAAGTTTTTTCTAATTAAGGGTTCTTGTCTCTGTTTAAAGCTATTTTATGGGAGAATTTATTTTTTAAAAATAATTTGTGTGAATTTTGTTATTATTTTATATCTTTTTAATTTAAAATTTAGAGCAGGAGAAACGATAGGTAAGTATTACGTATTGTGGAATACTTTTTAGTAGTGGATTATCTCAATAATTACTTTTTTATTTTTTGGTTATAGTAGATTATATTAACTTGTAGTTTTATTGTCAAATCAAAGATTAAATTTGATTATAATATCCATATAACTATTAGATTGCTCTATTATCAAATGTTTAATTAAGTGTTTTACATTTTAAAAATTAGGTTTTCTAATGCCTCTAGTACATTACGCCATATGAATTAGCTTGTAATCTTTAAGTTTTTTTTATTATTGATGAATAAATGCAATTCTACTCTCTTTATATATAAAGCAAATTAATATTAACGACATGTTGATCCAAATGGAAAGAACTCGATTTTTTTTAAATAAGATCTTGAATTCAAATTTTGTAAATGAAAAAAACAAACGTTGAGAGAGTTTCTCCTAATATGACCTGACCCGACTCGACTTTGGATTAGTTAGGATTCAATGTGGTTTCTAGATATCTGAGAGTTAATACTAAAAAAAAAAAAAATAAAGCAAATTAATTACGTTAATTCTATTAATATAAAATGCTGAACTTACCAATGAATTGGAACATGAATTGCCTCGAATGAATAATGCAAATTTGAATCAAATGAACAATTGTTTGTGATTAATTACATGTTTCATCTTCATTTATGGCTCCTTAATTCAGTCTTCATTGCTAGCTCCTTAATTTTCATTGCTTGGGGTTCCACCCTCTGCACATTTTGAAGCTGCTAGGGAGGTATCTGAAAGGCAAAATTCATGCAGTCAGAAACAGAAAACGTTCACATTTTGAGAAAGACAAATATACATTATGAGTGCATTTTTCTTCTGAGTAGCACATAGTTAATTGGTAAATTTGCAAAATCAAAATTAAAGATTTTTATTTGATGGATTTTTATGTTCTAGATGAGGAAGATGAAGGCTATTTATATTTTGTTCTGAGATACAAGAAAATTGTTTTCTCACCTGGGCCTCATCATAACATGAGGTGCATCCTTAAATTAATTGGTAAAGTAGGCGTAATAACCCATATCATATTTAAGCTATATGTTTCTTCGCTTATTTTTCAATATGGGATTTTCCGCTTTAACTAGGAAAGGCTTGACAGGTGAACTTCATATGCCCTCACAGGCACACAAGCCCACCGGGCTTATTAGAGCAGAGCTTCAAATGCCCCCATAGCCTTACAGAGAAGACGAGGCCTAGACGTAAAGAGGAAGAAGAAGAGGAGCTTGAAGAAAGGGGCCAAGCCTCAATTGACAATGATAATTGCAGTAGCTCATATCACATTTAAGCCACATGTTTCTTTCCTTGTTTTTCGTTGTGGGATAGTAGGCCTCACTGCACCAGTGGCCCAACATTAATTATCTCAACGTGAAGGTAAGTCAATATTCGCATTCGTCTTCCATAGAGAATTGAGGGAGAAAGGAAGAATCTAGAGCACATAGAGAATTTGATAGATTAATGGAAGAAAATATTTCCTCTCATTCATGAACAACCCAAAGGGATTACGGATAGACTCCTTTATTGTAGAAAGCTAGATAAAATCAATTGCAGCTTAATCCGACTCTTACTAACACCCTCCATTTAGGACCTAAGCTTACATCCTTCATTAACATTGATCGTTTTTCCAAAAGATAAAAAATAAATAAATAAAGGAAAGGGAGAACGTACATATAATTTAGAAAGAAATAGTAATTTTATGCATAATAACATTTACGAAGCGAATAGGAAGTTTTGACCAATTTTATTGTGCAGGGTATGACACAAAATAGAAATTTGAATTGAAATTCATATATTGGCTGGTCACTAATTTACC